TAAAATATAATAAATTTTTTATATATAATTATTTTATATTATTTTATATTTCAAACAATAACGATTCGAACACGAACGAACACATCACTGTTCGTGTTTGGTTCGTTTAACTAACCGAACGAAAAAAATTTGTTCGTGTTTGTCTCGTTTACTTATCGAACGAATCGAACACGAACTCATTGACGAATCGAACACGAACTGTTCGCGAACAACGAGCTTTTTTGACAGCCCTACTGCTACCACAGCCGCCGTTGACAACCGCAGCCTTCACCTCCGACCAACTCCAACTGTTGTTGTCGCTGACCGCCTTCAACCATTATTGACTGCTACCTACACCTCATAGTGAAGTTCCTTATGAAGTCACATGTGCACTGCGAAACCCCGACATATATTGTAAAGCAACAACGCACCTCACAGTGCAACAACACCTTATGAAGATGGAGTAGTAATACACTCCAAAGAATTTGACTCTCTCCAGACTCTCATAGCTCCCTCCTTACAACTCCCAACTCCAGCCCCTGTAATATACAATCATCAGCGCAACTCACCACTATAGCATATGTGATCAACTACAACCTACATGGTCAACAACTCATGTATCTCTCAACTCTGGCCCCCGGGGCTTACGGACGTTATCACATCTCACTACTTGGCCCATGTGACTAGCTATGCCCTACTCAGTCCTTAGCTCGTGCAGCTCCCAACTACGACCCCTGAGGTTTACATACATCATCATAGCTCACAAATACAATCTACGTGGTCAAAAACTCGTGCAACTCCAGACTCTACCCCTGCGGTGTACGAACGTCATCATAGTTCACCACCATGATCTAAGTGACACATATCTCATACAACTCCAAAATTAAGCTTCTGCGGCTTCTGGACATCATTACAACTCACCATTATAACCTATGTGACTAATTACAACCTATGTGGTGCACAACTCATGTAGGCCTGAATACATCCCTTAAGACCTATGTATGCCATCGCAAATCATCTTACGATCAACGTCAACACCTATGGCCTACGTGATCCATATCTCATGCAGCTCCCAAAGCTCTTGACTCTACTCCACAGCTTATGGACATCATCACAGCTCACCCTACGGTCTACGTGACCAATCACAACCTACATAGTTTATAGCTCGTGCAGCTCTTGAATCTTGCCCCTACGACCTACAGAAGTCATCATAGCTCACCACTATGACCTACGTGGTTCACAGCTTGTGCAACTCTAAACTCTCTACCCCTCGACCTACAAATGTCTTTGCAATTCACCACTAATTACAGTCTACGTAGTTCACAACCTGTGTAGCTCCCGTCTCTGGCCTACGTGGTCTACCGATGTCGTCACAGCTTACCATTATGACCTACATGAACAACTACGACTTATGTTGTTCATAGCTCATACAGCTTCTGACTTTGGCCTCTGTTGCTCACTCATGTCATCACAACTCATCATTATGACTCATGTGATCAACTGTAGCCTACGTGGCTCACAACTCCTGCAACTTTCTACTAATGTCTCTGTGACTAACTACCGCTCCTAAAACAACTATCTTAGGCTCGCATGGCCAGCTGCTACCATAGCTTTCAACTACTATTTATACGACAAGCTGGCACTATGACCACCGTCTACAACATTCACGGAGGACTACCACCTCCATAGCAATCGACTATGACCCATGCAACCTACTATCATCCAGAACTACATTCGTTGCATGCATAGTATAACTATTATCGACGAATCACTGCTATACTTTTATAATGATAATCTTTGTAACTCTATCTTTCTAAATTCTGAAGATTTGTGTACTCACCATTCATAGTAGATTAATATTTCAACTAGGCTAGGCTTTATGATTTTTTTTCCCTTTTTAGGATTTTCCAAATAAAATGTCAAGGCTTCTCCTTCTACTTCTATTTTATTAGCTAAGTGTATATTAGAGTCTCGTACAATGCTAAGACGCTAAACAATTACTCTATTGTCGCAGACCTTCCAGTGCACATCACACATATATTCTATGTAAGAGATTTATGATAACAAATCCTACTAGGACTAAAATTCTAACTTACATAAAATTTAGTAATTTTGTTGTTGTTGTTGTATTATATAATTTAGTATTTTCGACATTACACAAATAACATCCATTTAATACAATTAAAAATTAAATAAATATCCTTGCCTTATCCTTAAACTCTCTTGCATCATGAAAACTCTTATTTATTCCAATTTTAGAAAGTAAAATCATATGATACATATAAATATCAAATATCTTTCTCATAAAAACAGATTTAGGGCAATGATAATGTTGCCGAGCAATTGCAAATAAATTATTTTATGATTAAGTCGACTTAATCTCACCATGGCAGCTAAATAATTCTTTTATTAAGATGTTGCATCATTACTCTCGTTTTGAGAGCTCTTTGGGGCCCCCATGCAAGAGATTCATTACAAGAATACAACATTCATATCATTATATCACTCTCCCACGCCTCTTATTTGTAAACCCACTACGGTAGGCTTAAAACAGACAGAATTAGTTTGTCACCATGTTTGCATAACATACTTAAACAAATGTATATAAAGTCAGATTAAGTCTCAGAACTGTCCCATTCTGTGGTTGAAAAGAGAATTTACTGAAATCGTCAGAGCTGGACCTCCAAACATTTCATCATAGTGTGTGAAGTTTTGGACTGTCAGATAAGATCATATGATACAATGGTGCAGATTTTATCCTTGCAAATGTTTTGAGCAATCTGTAATTTCATTTTTTTTTTTTTGTGTGAAAGGTAAGCACAGTAAGGTTTTCTTCACTGAATGTAATGATTTTAATTCAAGAAATGACAACAGAAAAGGATAGACTTTGCAACATAATTGTCTTATACATGTAATTTTATGTTAATGAAATGTAAGGATTTAAGACATTAATTTAACTTAGAACTTTTGGGTTAAAAAAAGGATATAAAAGCTAATAATTTAACTTTGATCAGATTGTGCTTCATAATTTGTGTTTCCAATAAGTTTATGATGCTTTGTACCAAAATTTACAGGATTCATGACTGTGTGTCTCTCACAAAAGCTTTGTATGATTGAGTGAGGTCTTTTGAGCAATAATGGCGATTAAAAAACCTCTATTTAAGAGGGAATAATGATTGAGGTGAAGAATTCTTGTGTAAGAGATTATGAAGATAGCATGTGGGAGTTTGGATTTATTTAAACATTGAATAGTTATTCAATACTTGTGTAGAAATATTAAGTGGTTAAGTTTAGCTGAGAAATTTAAAATTTATGGGTTGAATGAATATGATTATTGATGTTGTTAACTAAATTTTAATTTCTTTTAATGTAGTGACTCAAATGCTTGTATCTGAGCAGCAATATTAAATTAGTCGAACATAATTATAAGCTCATCTTTGGAATATAAAATGAGAATTATTACTATTGGACAATAAAACATTTTTTTATAGGTCGTTTGGGGTCACTTTTATTTTTTTGTTTACCTTTGGATTTGAAACATAACATGTTTGATTAAGATATGTCTGTTTTTGAAAGTATTAAAAACACCAAAAAAATATTTTGAATGTTTTCAAAAGCATTTAAAAAAAAAAGATGTTAAAAACATATTAAACAAACATGTTTTGAAAAAAATAAATAAATAATCCCAAACAAACTCTTAGAGTCCAATTTCAATTTTTGATTTGATGAAGCAACCGCTAGATTGTTCAAAATAGTATTGTTTTTAGGGTTTTAGGATTTAACATAAAAACCCTAAAAATTATTGTGGAATAGTACTTTTCTTATGATTTTTTTTTTCTAGAAAAGAATATATATACTTCTTAGGGTTTTGATTTTAGGTTTGGATTTGATGAAGCATTCATCAAATTATTCAAACTAGCACCAATGTTAGAGTTTAAGGATGGGTGTGGTTGTCAATAAAGTTAATTGGAAAATAGTATTTTTATAATTTATTTTCAAATCGAGCTAAACTCGAATATTTTATTCACAAGTCATTTAACAAATGAGTGTATTTCAAAAAATAATAATAATAAATAACGAGCCACACACGAACAATAGCCTTAAATCAGGATTTAACTCTACACCAATCTCAATATTTATCCTCTGATAAACCCTTCCACCACCATGGGTTGCTATCAGGATGTCAGCCTACACCAGCTCATACAACTTGAGCCTGAAAGTAGCCATTAAAAGCTCTAGCAACTTTTTGAGTGCTTTTACATTATCAAAATCATCATATATATAGATATATAAATATTTGAATGAATAATTACGCAGCCTTTTCTTTTACTTTCTTCTTAATTCATCTTAAAAAACAACTTTCAGTAAACAGTATAAAAAAGTTGATTTATTTTTTTATTAACCTTAACAACAGAGAAAAAGAAAAAATGAGCATAATTACAAACATAAAAAATGTTAACTTGCAAGTAAATTTCTAAAATTACAATAAGCCCCATATTTATGATTAAAATTCTCTCATTAATCCAACTTCTTACATGCAATATTCTATTTTTTGTTCCTTGCCACACCTGCAACTCATCTTGGCTTGTTCATTAAAAGCTTACACTTAATTAAGAGATTATAAGTTTGAGATCTCACATATAATGTTACTGAATTTACAATTCAATTCCACTATATAATTTATTTTTCATCTCAAATTTATCACTTTTGCAGAATGGAGAGATCATGAGTTTGACGTCTTACATATATAAAGTTACTGAATTTGCATTAAAATTCCACTATATAATTTATTTTTCATCTCAAATTTATTACTTTTGCCGAATGGAAACACAAATGATAGAACTAGATAACTGAAAGAAAAGGCAGCTGGCTTTGGGACCCTTACAGCATTTAGTGATGGTCCTCGCCAACTGCCTCCAGATCATTGTCTGATAACTTTTCATCTAGATAACCTCTCCCAAAAAAGCATTCTGAAATCAGCTATATGTGGGGCTCTCATTGAATCATCCAATGGACCCCTTAGTCCTCACTAATATTTCAAGCTCTTCAGATCTTGGGCCCGTTTGGGGCAGCTATGAGTGCGGGCTACGTTTTCAAAACGCCGTCTCATCGTTTGGAAAACACGTTTCGGCAGCTTATCTGAAAATGTGGTTGGGTTTTTACAGTAAACGCAGGCCGCGGGTCAAATCCCGCGGGCCACGTTTGAGGATAAGCTGCTTATCTGGATAAGTACAAACTGCCCAAACGCACCCTTAGTTTCCGATAATAATTTGGTAATTTATTGTGGAACTTCTTTATGTAGAATAAAACTGAACTCTTACATTTACATCCATGTCAATATTGAAAATTTCTCAAGAGTAAGATTCCTATTTCAGTGAGAGAAGCAAATAGAGGGAAATAATGACATTGTTTCAATCATTTTGCAATATTACTTCAAGCAGACAATTTTCATTTACTCCCATTTTGAAGTGAGAAAAAATAGAACAAATTGAAAGATTCCGTTGGCAAATTTATCCAGCTGCTACATTTACAGCAACCCAGTTTTATAATCTTATGTAAATGTGATCAGACTCCACTTAGTAGTAAACACAATTATTAAAAACCAATCCCCTTGAAGGCCAAGCTTCCGCTTATCTTCTATATAGTAGAAGAAAACATATACATATATAACAATTGCTTTAAATATCACACAGATCATACCAGAATGTGTTGATCAGCTCAATTAAAAATATGAAAGAAAATAAATTGTAGAGTGGAAGAGTTTATCTTCCAAATCACTCTTATGGCTGAAGATAAGAGTGAGTAGACATTCATAGCAGGTAACAGCTACACTATGTATATAAGCTTCTGGCTTTTCATGGCAGCAAAAAATCTGATAAGGCAGTGAATGAAAGGTCTTCTTCATTTTTTTCACAAGGGAAAACCGTCACGAGGCACGCCATTCAAATCTTGGGTCTTTAAAGGAGGATTGTTGCCATAACTCATTTGAACAACATGGTGGAGTTCCTCATCCCAGGCATTAGCCATCTATAGATAATTCCAAGCCATGATTAGGTTGATGAAATGCTCCACATATATAAATTTAAGTTTGTAAGAAAAAATTTAAAGGAGTTTATGAAATCTTTTTTTTTTTTGGGAAAGTTAAGAACAGAAGAACAAATTTGATATAAATGAGATTCGAGCTCGGAAGCTTGGAACTAACTTTCAAGCTCTTTACGAACTAATCAGTGTGACGGTGAAGTCCAACATTTAAACTAGCGAATAGTATACAAGTTTATTTGGTTAATGTTAGAAGCCCATGCTAACAAGTAATAGTTGGTTGGTTTGGTGTGAATGTACATCAATAAAACAACAAAGTTAATTTTGAAAATAGCACAAACCTACTTTTCATGCACAAACCTAACTTCAATAAAGGGAAAAGATATCCAACAGCTTGCATTCTAGCAAAGATGCCGCTTTACACATCAATCAATGCCCTTTTCAAAATGAAATTTGTTTTATAGTACAAATTTCATGAAATCCAATGAGAGTAAGTTTGTAGCTTAGGTATAAAGCTCTATTTGGCGCGACTAATACTGTATGTAAGGTCATTTGTACAATTAAATGTCAAAAAATTTTATAGCCAAAAGTGTTAATGTTTTTTAGAAAATCTAATTATCCTTGCGAGAGCGCCGGAGCGGTGGCGCCACTGTATGAACTGTTATTATTTTTTCACATGCACATACACAAATATAAACTTTTTACTTGTAATACCTTTTTATTTTTGATATAGTGAATTCTTCTAACCTGTCTATGATTTTGTTGTCTAGGGTTTTTCATGTAAATTTGAGTGTCCCTTGATTTGTGTTTGTGATTTGTCTCTTGAACATTATTCTTTCTATAATCAAATAACCTTAATGCCATTATTCTAATTATATCTCATATTGACTTGACTTTGAGTAGAGCTAATTTTGATCGGGTGTGGGCATTTTGGGTAGCCTTATTAGACAAAAACCACAAGAAGGAATGAATCTATATGCTCTCTGTATACCAAGGATTCCAAATTTTTTTTCTCTCTAATACTACATTTAGTTAGAGTAGATGATGCTACAATAATTTCCTGGGGTAGAGTTCCAGTCTGAAAGCTGTGATCAAGGAAACAATTCACCCCTACATGAGAGTTTTAGGACATAGGCTATAAGACCAGAACAATTTCATAGTTTATACAGGCATAACAAACATGAAACAGGAAGAAAAACAGTGTACATTTTGGTTGTTTTAAACATCAAAATTTTACCTTTCCTTGCTCAAATTACCTTTATTATGAACATAAACTAAAGCTGAAGTTGGAGCTTGGAAGTTGAGGAAAAAAAAAAGGGAATCAAAAGCTTAAATAAATTGTTGCAGCTTCATAATTAACAAATATATAATGCTGACATTCAATTTGATTTCCTTCACTTTCCTCAAATCCAAACAAAAAAGCTTGCATCAATCGAGTTAAGAAGCCTCTGATAATTTTAAAAGTCAATACACAACTTCTATTTCTTCAAGTTAGGCTTACTAGAAAAATCTAACAATCTACAGAATAATTATTAAAACATAAAAAATTTTCTGTGAATACCTGTTGTGTAGCCTCTTTGTAGCCACTGGTTGAATTCAATTGAGCATTCAGTGCTCTTCTAAATGAATCTGAAGGGTTCATAATACCAGGCATCCCTACTTGAATCAAAGCTTGATGAGCAGGATGCAACTGTTGATGGATCATTTCTGGTGTGAATCCAATGGATGATGAAGAACCAGTCCTGTTCTGAAATAACTGAAATGAAAAATAAAATAAAATAATTCCTAGACTTATCTTTTTCCTCCTTTAATACAAGAATTTCTTCAACTCATTAAAAAAAATTAGTAACGGTTTATGATCTCTTACGTCTTTAGAAAGAAGGCCTTCAACGTTGAAGTCTAGGCTTGGGTTAACAGCAGCAAGCTTCATTGATAAAAACTAGTACCAGAAAAGAAATAAAATGGCTCATTTAACTTTAGAAGGGAGAATCATCATGAAAATCTTATAAGAAACTTACAAATTTATTCATGTGTTCTATGAAACAATAAATACCTCCACTTGACGCTGCAGTGATTGGACGTAGTTGATTATCTCATCTAGCATAACAGCTTTACCTGTAACCTGGCGCACATAGCCTGAAGATTTAAGCAAAGCAGCTCTAAACAGCAAAGATTATAAGGAAAATAGCAGCCAGGATCATTTTTTTTTAAGGAAAAAAAAATACTTACTTTGTTGCAGCCGGGAACAAGGTCCTGAAGAAACTTCATCCTTTCACTAATCTTCTCCCTTCTTACCTGCATCAAGGTGACGCCAATACATAAAAAAGCGAGTTCTTTTGCTTTTGCTGCAGTTTTATAGAAACAAAACTGGCTTCAAATATGGATGAAAGCCTCACTCTTTCTGCAAGACTATGGCTATTGGTAGCTTGGCCTCGACGAGCTCTCACATGGATATAATCTTCCTTGGGAGGTTCTCCGCTCTCTTTTGTATTTTTTCCCGAAAACTTCACAGCTGCCATTGTTGAGATGGTTTTTTCTGCCTTCTGCATGTTATCAGTGGCATCTTTAGCAGCCTCAAAAGGGAATTGGGCAGCAGCTTGTCCTTGATCTGACTCCATGTCCTACCATCAGAAATTCACAAAGTTGCAAATTGATAATGAATTAAGATTAGAAAGAAGAAAAAAAAAAAAAATCAGAGAAAACAAGTAGACCTGATTGCTCCTCTTCCTTTTATTTAAGCCAAACACCCCTTTACATGAATTGGGTGAGTCCTCTCGAGCATCTTCACTGAACTCTGGTTCTGAGAGCTCATTAGCTCCCTTCTTCTCTCTTTGCTCCTTCAGTGAACTCCCGCTATTAGAGTTCTGATCAATCAGAACAGATCTACCCTTCAGTGCTTCAATCATTCTTCCTGCTTCATTTTTTTGCATTTGGGCTTCAGCAATGGCATCCGAAGTTCCGGGGACAATGAAAGGATAAGTCGCATCACCGAAGCAAGAGAATCTTGCAGCTCTCTCAGTAAATCCAGCATCACAAGGGAACTGAGAGAGGCTAAGGGGAAGCATTCCCGGCCCTGTGTTCAAAAACATTCCTCCCTTTGTTAATGAATCTGAAGGATTCCAGTTCATGGGAACTGGTTTTCCAATGGCGGAAGAGCTTGCAGTTGTCTGCGCATTGGAAAAGTTTAAGCTTTGGGTATTGGCAGGCAGCTGATTCCAGATTACATGGCCAAAAGATTCCGCCATTGAAGCTGATGGGCAAGGTAAGGAACCAATCTGATTCCACTCAGTTGTCGGTAAGCCTGCTGTGCTGCAGTTCAAAGAATCTGTGCTCCTCTTTTCCAACCCAAACTTCTTCTCACCCAAATCCATCTTTATTTCTTCTCCAAGAAGAAGAAGAAGAACAATGACCTAAACCACTGAAATGAAAGCTTGACTTCACTCCAAGATCTTAAATAGAAGAAACACTTGAAGAAGCCATTATTGACTTCAAAATTCCCATCTTTTCTTTCTTTTTACTAGTAGTTGTTATCCGCTATCATGACAATAAAAGATTTGTTCAAAGAAGAATTGGTTCCATAGACCATAGGCAATAGAATCCAAGTGGGAAAGAGAGGAAAGAAAATAACTAAAAATCAAATCCAAGTACCAAAATCTATTGCACAAAATTAGCCAACAAAAGTGTAGGCTTTCCTCAAAAGGAGCAAACTTGTTCATACCATACCAATTATATTCCAAGACCAAAAGTTAAAACAGGAAAACAACAACAAAAACTCTCAACTTCACAAGAGAAATTTACCAGACCTAAAACTCTTATAACTCAGCACTAACAGCGACAGTAATAAAGATCAGTGAAAGCCATATCTTCTGAAAACAACATCAAGTTAGCCATTAAAATCATCAAGCTCCAAAGAGTGATTGAAAAGACAGAGCAAACGGAGAATCTGCAACCCAGACTCAACTAGCCATTAAAAAGGAGCAATGCATTGGTTTCAGAGATCACCAACCCTCTCTCTCTCTCTCTATTTCTATCTCAGAAACACTAAGCAGCACACCTAAAAGTAGTAAATAGAGAAAGGAAAAGATACCCTTGCTCTGATTCCTCTATGCTTTTATCTTTCTGCACTTGCTTGAAGTCTTTTTCCCCTCATTGAAAGCACTGCGAACGACCCACAGCTCTCTTGTTTGTGCTGCTTCTTTCACTCCCAACTCACTCTCAGAGCCAAAACAACTCCAATTTCAGAAAGAACGACAACAGGGAA